CAAAAAGCAAATTTAGAAAATGGCGTTTTCTAAGAAATTGCAAAGTCATGTAATGAATTGGCAGAATTTTCTAAAATTCTATTTGTATATACATATATATGTACATATGTGAGAATGTTGTGCAATATTTTTTTTTATTTTTTTTTTCAATTTAAGCACATTTGTTTTTGAAAATGTCTAAAGCAAATTTTATTTGATTTAGTCAAATGCAAACCTTTTGAAGCGTGTCTACGTAATCTTTGCTAATGATAATGAGGAAAAATGAAAATTTTCGAGAATTTTTTTTGTGAATAAAAATTCAATAAATTAATTAATATATATATATGATAGTGGTGAAATATTTTTACGCTTACAAAAGGGCAGAGCGTTAAATTTAGCGCTAAATAAATTTTCTGCGAATTTTATTAAATACATAAAACCCTTCAATTTAAGGCAGAACTTATACGAAAACGATAAAAGATTTTTTTTTTGTTTTTTTTTTTAACGCTCCGTCCTCTGGTAATATTATTCTAAATTTTATCTCGCTTAAACATATTTTTAGTAAATTTTCTTATACCACATACATATGTATGTATATAATAAAATATTTTCATAAATGCTTACTTGTAAAACGCTGAAATTTTCCATGTTTAAAAATTACTAAAAAAAAAAGTATCTAAAAACAATGTATGTACATATATAATTGAAAATGTTTGTTTTTCTCTGGCAAATATAATTGCCTTGTTGTGAAATTCGAAAAGTTGTACAAAGCAATTACTTATACTCGCTTTGGCGCAAGTACATAGAGCATCAGTAGAATTGTATGTATGTACATAAAGCACGAATGAGCTGGTCTCTTATCGGGAACCAGTGTAGTATGTATTTATAATAATTATTATGTACTACGAGTATAATATATGGAAGTATGTATTAACGTCGTAAGAATTCAGCTTGCTGAAGTTGCTTGCATTCACTTTGAAAATTAGCTTTCAAATGGTTTCAGTGGATAATGCGACTGCCATTTATATCTGTGATCAGCCGCTGCAAAAGCGAGTTGAACAAGCTTTCGTCTCGCTACAAAACTACAAAACTACAAAACTACAAAACTTACTCAAATATGTACGTGTAAGTCATTATGAGGGGCATTCCCTGTGTGGTCATTAAAGTAGGTTTTATTTGTTGTTTTTTTTTTTTTAAAGCAGCTTATTAAAACAATAATTTATTTATTTATGCGGCATGTGATTGTGCACAACATCATTGATTTATTTTAAAATTCATTATATATATTATATAAGTATGAAAGTACATACTCGTATATATGTATATTAAAAGAGTATTTTAGTTACTTTTTACCCTTTTTTGTTTTTTTTTTTTTGTGGAATCAGTTTATTTATTTATAAATATGGAATGAAATTGAATTTAATTGGATCATTAAATTTACTTAATTGAAAATAAATAATTCATGATAATTTAAATTAATCATTAAATATTTTTAATTTTTTTAATTATTTTTTATTTTGATTTTAATTTTTTATTTTGACAATTATTGATATTATATAATATATATTAAATTAATTAAAGCTATATGTAATTACTCTGCTGCATTAAAAAGTAATAAACATTAATAAATTCTGCAGATTTCAAATAATCAAATAAATAATTATTCAATTTTTGATTTATGGTTTTTATATATTTTTAATTAGTTTTGACTAATTCAACTAAAATAGATAAATTTGAATAGAAATGCAATTAATTAGTACAATAATTAGTTTTGGCGGCGGTCGCATTAGCTGAGTGGTTAGTATTACATGTCGAGGTTCGAGTCCTGGTTCGACCGAAATTCAAAATTTTAGAAAATTAATTTTTGTAGCTGTGGTCACAACTCGGTAGTGTATTTCTGATATAAAATAAAGGCTCCTCATAAAAATCCATCGGCCGCTCGCAGGCGGCTTATAATAAACTTTGGCTCCCCCGCTTCGTTGGTAAAGCATCTAGACGCACACCACAAATTGGAGGAGGTGCACGGCCCAAAAACGCTTCAGCATAAAAAAATGTATTTTCTATTGCTGAGGTTACAAATTAATTCGATCCGTCTTTTTTTTTATTAAAAATTGAGAAAAAGTAACAAAAAGTAAGAAACGACTATTTCTTTCAATCTCCCTTGTGTTTTTCAAATACTACCTCTAAAAAATCCGGCCTCTCTGTCCTTGAACCATTCATGGAGCAGATCCAGTAGAAGCACTATATCCTCATCTTTAAGCTTTTTGATGTGACCAGTACGCTCTTTGTCTTCGACGTTAAATCACTACTTTTGAAGGGTTAGATAGGCCACAACTTGTAGGTGGAACCATCTTTTGATAGTGGACCGAGACAATTTGTGTCAAGTTATGTTAAAACCGAGAAGAAAATACCGCATTAACGTTTTATTTTATTTTTAATTCTTATTTACTTTTGATGCAAATAAATTAGGAAAGTTAGTTAATTCAAAAATTTCAAATAGATTTATACATAAAAAGGAGGGTAAAGCTATTTATTTTTATAATGTGTATGTACTTGCAATGTCTTCTTATTTCTTTTTCTTATAATTTTAAATCATTATTTAGTCACATCGCCCTTCTTTTTAATATTTACACCTACTTAAATTTTAAAGCCACTACTTTTTTTTCTGTTTAAGTTTATGCTTTCTAATTTCCGGTCAAATTCTCATTGATTTTATTTAAATTTTTTTAAGTATAATTAAACAGTATTTAGTGCGTAAAGAACAAACACATGCTTAATGATTAAAAACAAAAATTAAAATTATATTAATAACATTAATTGACCTATGCATATATATATATATACATACCATGAAAATTACTTTTTGTTAAGTCATCAATTTAATTTAAATTTCATTTTATATTTGACGCAACTTTGATAGAATTTATTTATGTAACGCGCAAAAAGAGAAGTAATTAAAATACACAATTAAACAGATAAGAAAGTTATTAATGTGACAGTTACAAACACTTGAGACTCTTATCGATGTAATCTTTAGTTTGTATTTAAATACACGAATATTTGCTTGGCATGTACGAATGGTGCTTACATACTGCAGATAACAGTTTCTTTTTTTATCAATATACAATGCAAATATAATCATTAACAATAAAGGGTTTCATAGGCACGCCTCTAAAGCGTGAAACGAAACTGGAAAATGACGTTAATTTACACAAACGCAATTAATGAAAATAAAACAAAAACAAATTCATCAGTCGCAATAGATACACGTCACATTCAAAACTACAGGTAGTTATAAAGATGTGTGTATTTGAAAAATATTTAAGTGAATGTATGATAATTTGATGAAAAATATGAAGACCAAAATTTATGGTAGAACTAGCAGACCCCAGCACTTGTTGCTGTGGCTTTCTGCATTTTGTTCAAGTTTTATTCCAATTGGTAGTGCAAAGAACGATAGAAAAAACGTAATCAGAATGGAATACCGTCTTCCAACTGATTCGAACCAAGAAAATCACGTCGAAATATATAAAGAATAAAGAACATTACTTGAGCTTTATACATCATATGGAGGAGCGGTTTTTAGACTTGTTGAAAATATGTAATAGTTGCATCTTACAAGGATATCATTGTCAATGAATTTCTGACTGAAAATTCAACAAAAACCATCATATAATATACACAGCTTAAACCACTGATCTTAGAGTACTAAAACTTGAAGGGTCTGATCTGCCTACGACATAAGCATCCGATAAGAAAGGATTTTCCGCGATTTGGTCGTAGATTTAATATATTCTTGAAAATCGCATTTATTTTCAAATTCAAAATTTCAAATTGGCGATTTTTCAATTCATCTTCTCTACCACGGAACCGCCACCGAATATAGTTAAGGACAAATTGCTTGGAGATCAAGCACAGGTCAATTTAAAAAAGAAAGAACGACACAAAAATCTAAATGTGATAAGTAAAAAGTAGCTAAACATATTTCTTTCCTTTGGTGTTCTCATATATCAGGTACCGTAATTCCTAAAATTATCTAAGTATAGTTAGAAGCAAGAACCACTCTTTTAATATTTGAAATTAATATAGAATATTTAGGAACCTAAATTTTAAAATTTTAGCCTAAAGCAAGACCGTCGGAGAAAAATGGAGCTTTTCATGTGAGCCATCAAAGAAACTAACGCATATCATAGTATTTTAACATTCTATTAGTAACGTGCTGAGTAGTATTTAGCAGATTTAGATCCGCTTGGAGCGCCGTTACTGGCATAACCGATGTATTCTTCAACGAAAATGAAAACTTTATAGTTCCAAGCATCATATGAATCTTCTATCTGAACCTCGTCATATTATATTTGATACGGATCTGAACTGAGAAACTCGACGACATCCGCCTGTTTAAAATGAAAATCGTCAGGAATTGGTTTCTCATCGATTCGGACTTCTGACTTAGAAAATTCAATTACTTTGCTGTTGAATTAATTTTTTACATTTCATTTCTACAAAAGTGCAGTATGAGTTTTGGGAAAATTTCAGACTAGGGTAGCCATTGAAGTCAAGAAGAAAATAAAATCGAAACATTTTAGAAAGACTGTGAGGTACTTAGTTGTAGGATGCGAACTAAGGTCGATTAGAACACACACAAACCTAGGATCAACTGATGAACTAAACGTGGTTAGAGCGCCGAAAAGGGGGGATGGAATCTCGGTCAACTCCGTTGCATAGAAACAGCAGACTTAACTTATTATTAAAAGTTAACTGCTATTTCGCCGACATTTTCCACTTCTTCATGATAATTACAGGCGAGATCCATGGCCAATAGCACACCAATTAATACCAATTCAACGATTTATGCAAATTATAAAAATTCCTTGTAAATCTGCGAATATCAAATACATATTTACATATGCATTTATGCACATAAAAGCAGAATCAGGGATTTTTAAAGGCGCGTGTTTTCTTGTACATTCATATTATTTACACATACGTGTATACTACTATAATACATTTTTCTCACTTACCGAGCATCATGACGCAATGTCGCATCATTGATGACGTCACACGCATACCCATTACACCGTCAAACATATGAAAGTTCTTCTCCTTACTAAACTTATCAAACTTAAACTTGTTTATCGTATTCACCTTGTGAATAATTACCGCTAAATTGCGCCAACAAATGTTCATACGCAAAATACTCTTACGCTTTAGCAAATGCTTTTGAATGTTCAACATAAAATGCTGCGTATGCGTGTGAATGCTGGGTGTATGGGTGGGCGTGTACGTACCGCCGCCGCTGCTGGTGTTGCCTACTACCGAACGATGACAATAGTATGCACACATACGAATGAAGGCGCGATATTCGCGCTGCCAAATGCGGTGTTGTTGTTGTTTTATTTGCGACACCGAGCGCGAATGGTGCATAGCACTAAAATATGAGTTAATTAATGTAATAGCGAAACCCAAATCACACTATGGGCTGCAGTTGATAAGCAATTGATATCTGGCGCGAGTGCGAATTGTGTTGAGGTGAATGAGTTAACGGGTTAACTGCTGCCGTTAGCTGTTTTTATGTGTATATGTAGTGTGCTCACAGGCGCGTCTATAATGTTTGCTGCCGAAAAATATGCTATAGTTTGCACTGTATTTTATATCGCTTATGTGTTTGTATAAAACACACAGTGGGCTCGATACACGATTTTCACGCACAAATATTAATTTACACTAAGAAATTTGTTGCTATTTTGCATCTAGATCACTTATCTGAGATACTTTATGTAGAACAAATTTAATATATTTTTAAAAGAGAAAATGCGTCTATCGCAAAAGTTTAAGCACGTTTCATATATATTCGATTTTAAACTGTTCTCTCAATATATATTGAGAGTTTTGTTGCTTTTATTGACGGTTACAAGAGAAAATCTAACAACTTATGAAAATGAAGTCTTTATAACGATGTTCACAGGCCGGTGATGCCATTGATACTTTTATAAATTTTCTTTAAAGATACACTTTGTATACTTTTGTAATTAGCGAGTGGTGTGGTATTGTATTGCCACACGTAAAAACAAAACAATTACAAGAAACACTTAATAACACTTTATAAGATAAACACTTTATGAGATTCGAGCATTAAAATCACAATAAAATTAATATAGAACTTTTTTATTGCTGCTGAAGCATGAGATTTTCGATATTTAGCTTTGGCTGCTGCGTTTACTGCATTGACTTTTGCCTTTTGTTAATTTATTAATTTTTACTTTACAGATTCGAAGCGCTTCTATTCGATGTCAATATTAAACGAAGTCAACAAATGCACATTTGCACAGCTGATTCGAATATTCCACGAAAAAAATATTGATATTGACTTGCAAACGACTTTGCAATTGACGTTGTACACTTGCTGTATGTAATTTCCTTTGTTGCTGACGTTGTTGTTGTTGTTGTTCTTGTTTTAACATGAGATTGATCCACGTTGCTTTTAATTCAATGCGAAATTGCGAATATTTTACTGCTTACGATTTGAACACTCTGACTGAAAATTTGATACTAAGAATTTCACATGTGCCGAATGTGACTCGGTGCTGTTGTATTGTATTTAGCTGCTGATAATGAATTACGAATTACGAGTACGAGTATTGCGCTTGAATATGAAAGTGGGTTTGCTGACGTCACAACAAGGCGAGACGAGTACAATGAAAGAGACGACTTAACTTGGCGGGGTTGAAGGAAAATGAGAAAAAGCTATAAATGCCAATTAGAGTTTCTGTGTGTGTGCGCGCTAGGTGAGAGAGCATGAAATAAAAATGAGAGATCAAATAGCCACTCGCTTGTGTTATTTGGTTGTGAAGGTATGTAGATACTTACATACATACGAGTTCATATAAGCACGTTAATGCCACTTGGATTTGAATTTTTATGTTTTACGAATTCAATTGGCACACAATTTTTTAAACAATATTAAAATCAAGCAACCGCAAAACGAGTTGAAATCGTTAAAACCCACTAAAAAAAATGGTGATTCAAACGTGGCGCACATAATCGTCCAACTACTCAAGCAATTAGTAAAAATTTAAAGAAATATGAACAGTCTGAATTGGTTTAAGATATTATAAGGCTTATACATCCTCGTTTTGCTAGGTCCATTTCAAATACAGCTACTGTAAGTAAAAGGGCAGCCGAAAACGCAAATATATTTGTTGACTTTCTCAAGAACTCGGACTCTATTATGGCGCATTTTGGCGTGTTTTGCACTCGGACTTCCTTATTAAGTCCAGTCAACTGAATCCAGCAAACCATTCACATACGTCGTTCATACATACGCCGACTAGGTGCTTGAACAACAAGCACTGGGGAGGATATGTAAAAAAAAAAATTGTCGCATTTTGGTCTCAGAGAATCCTTAAGTAATTGAAGGGCGGCCATCAAAATAAAAAAGAACTATTGTATAAGGTGCTCTGCAACTGAACCCCTTACCTGAAAATTAAAACGCCGAGACTGTCTGACATTTTTTGGCTTGCAATTGAAGAAAGCTTCATGATACGATAATATATGGTTCAACAAGATGGTGTCACGTGACACACAACATCATCGAATATGGCTTTACTCCGAAAACAGCTTGCCGGACGCGTAATCTCTCGTTTTTGCGATGTAAATTATGCTCTTAAGTACTTGAAAACCAAAATTTGTCAAGTCATAGCTGAAATACCGCCCAATATGTGCAAAAAAGTAGTCGAAAATTACTTCAAACGAATTGAATTTGCAAAAATTCGCGAAGCAGTCATTTAAATGATATAGTGTATAATGACATTTGGAGTCAGATTTGATTAAATTCAAAGTTTGACAAATTAATCTAGTTATTTATTATTATATCTGGAAGTTTTTTCAATTTTTTACTACACTTCCTTTCCTCAATATTTGTTTTGTAAAGCATTGATCTCGCTACTTCTTTTTAGAAACGCGGGAATAAAGTAAAAGATTTCATTATTTATTAGTAGTATAGAAATAGTAGTAGTAGTAGCATAGAAATATTACTTTAGTTTAATCTGGTATAAATTTAGACGAGGTCTCAAGGCATATAATTTGGTGGTATTAATAACAATTATTATTATATATACTGTAATATACTAAGTTCGAATTGAATGTCAAAATGGAAAATTTTTAAGTTTAATTGCAACTGCAGTCACAGGTACCGTACAAATTTTTGTGAATTTTTGTGGAAAATATTTCACATTAATTTACCAAAATCTTCTCTCACGTTACTCAATGCGTTTGATAGCGCTTTCAAGAGAAGGAAGAATTGCTAGTGCAGAATGAGCAATCGGAGATTGAATTTAAGAAAAATTACAGATGTGATTGATGAGTGTGATTGTACATTGCAATTTTCCTTTCTGCAGTTAGAGAAAATTTTGTTTTGTGTTGAACAAAATAAAACTTGGTTTCCCATTTTGAAATGTTCAGCCGCGCAAGTAAGCTCTTTATTATGTAAAAATAAATATTTAATAAAGTCCAGTTGTCATATACAAACTTTTTCCTCAATAAAACAGACGAGCTGTTAATTTATTAAAGTTTGTTAGTTTATTAAACGTTTTCATACGTAAATATGTATAAACATATATTCAAACATAGATTAACAATTACATATATTACATAAAAACAAATAAAAACAGATATCTTTTATATTTTATGTTTAAGCAGGTTCAAATTCCATTTATTTTAATATTTTTATTTTAGAGGCTCAGGGCAAACGGCAACGAGAGAGGGTAACTGTCTACGCTGAATGACCTCAACAGCTGCTTGAACAGCGCTGCCAGAAAATTTTTCAAAAATGGTGGGTGAAAATAAAGAAACTAGTTTGAAATTGCATGATGATAGACTGAAATAAAAAAAAAAAAAACAAATAAATACAAAAAAATTATAAAACAAATAAAATTTTTAGTTTACACTGAACAAAAGTAAGTGGGCTTGAAAATCTAATATATAAATTATTGCTTCTGTAAATCTTAAGTTTTTAGTTCTTATAATGCAATAGTTTTATGCTGAAATTTTTATATATAATGAGAAAAGTGAATAGAAGAACAACTTAAATAAATTAAATAAAAACGCGTTCTTTTACTTAAAACTGAAAAATTGAGTTCCTAAAAGACATTAAGAAATTTTAATTTAACGAGCTCAGTACATATATATAAGTATATTTCTGTATATGCATAGTTACACCTTTCAGTTTTGAGTATTAAATAAAAACATACTAAAAGTAATTAAATACTTTACTGGCAGGCCTATTCTCACTGTTACCGGTGAAGTAAATTTTTTTACTTTTTTTTAATACCCGAAATTGGATTTGGTATTCTGGCGTACTGGTTACAATGTTTGAAAAAACTTTGGCAGCACTGCTTTTTTCGTCCTTGTCAAACTACATTGGCCAGTTAATATAGTAAAAAAGAATATTATTCACATCGAAATGGAAGACGGTGCACTTCAAAACAAATAAGTTTTTTATATGTGTTTATTAAATCATATATATTTGAACCTAAGCTGAACGAAAACATTATCTTACAAATTAAAGGGCTACTTTTTAGTCTTGAAAACTTCTTAAAATACGGCTTTTTGCACTTTTTTCTTCATATACAATGAATTCCAGGCCTAAAATATGCCTACCTATTTTGGCTTCTATTTTTTCTCATACTAACAACACAAAACCAAAGAGTAGATTTTTGTATCTCCTATTTCGCTGGTAATAAAATTTACACTGTGACAGTGAGCTCAGAATACGAAATAGTAAACAAAATTTACTAAATGGTAACTTTTAATACCAAAGTAAATTTTGTTACCTTGGCGGTATAGTCCTGTTAATGTCTCTCTCAATTACATATTTATGTAGTTGGTATTTTAAAACTCTCTAATTAAACATTTCTTCCCACGGATGTGGCAGCCTCAATTGCTTCTCACTAATAACAATTTGAGATATTATTCGCTCGCTCGCTCTCTGTACAAGTAGAACTGCGAAAAAAGTTCCACAAACCTGTATACAAATATATGAAGATACTTTAACAAAGAGTATGCCGCGCTAAATATGTGTGTAAGTATTTATAAATGTGAACGTTCCAATACGAGTATTGACTCGCTCTACCTTGTCTTCGTACAGAGATTTGGTGGGCTCGTGTTGCCGTGCGAACTACATACATATGTACATACATACAATATAATGTATTCAGTTCATGATTTTAATTTTTATACAATTTTTGTCTTTGGAAATGCGTACTCAACGGTTTGGTAAAAAATAGATACATATATTCTGGCCTTAGCAGCTGCTGATATATTGTGCATACATACAAAAAATTTGCACTATTTAGCTTTTAGCAAATTGATGATGCAATAGCTTAGCTTGTTTCACAATATTTGTTAAAGCTGAAATCGTAACATTACATTGCACTTTCCAATCACCTGATTGCTGTGAGTCATTTCACTTCGTGAATTCTTCATGGGAGCTGCATTAAAAACCGAAGAACAATCGGTACAAAATTTTGATGCAGTTACGTGCATATGGATTTGAGAAAATATTCGTGCTGTCAAATGAGCAGAGGAATTCCTGCAGTCACGTGAAATTTTATACATATTTACATACTCGTATGCGAGTAGCGAAACAAAAAACAGGGGCTCGTGCGTACATACATACACATACATATATAATATATTTTTATTAATAGAAGCTAAAAAAAGCAAGAACAAAAAAGTTGGCGATGGCCAGCTCCTAAACATTAATTGTTCTACAAATTCAGTTTCTATCTTTATGATCATCTTCTTTAATATTTCAACACAAATTTCAGAAAGTTATTAATCACAAAAAATATCAGATTACGAGTATACACCATTATACTACGCACCAAACATTGTTAAAAGAAATGAAAGAAAATCGTGCTGACTTAAAGTTGGTTTAATTCTGCATCGTTGACAGACGGCAGTACTAATGCGCATTAAAATTTTAAAAAGGATTTTCTCAATTATTTGCGATTTCTTAATTAAAACTAAAACAAAAAAGTAGTCACAACAAGTGATGCATAAATTTTTGATTTCGCTGAAATATGAATAAATTATTAGAAAATAATTTTAAGCTGTTTTTCAATATACATATAGTTCTTTAGAGCAAACGAAAATGGGGACACAAACCAAAGATTTATACTAAAAAGAGGAAAATCATTAGCTCCTGTTTTCATTAACAGAATTTTAACGGCAAGACCGTCAAGACCATGTGCAATGGTATAGAAGGAAAACACAAACAAACTTGCGACCAACATATTTATCAAAGATTCTCTAACTTACAGGCCTATTCCCACTGTTACCGGTAAAGTAAATTTTGTTACTTTTTTTTAAAACCCGAAATTAAATTTAGTATTCTGGCGAACTGGTTACATTGTTTGAAAAAAATTTGGCAGCACTGCTTTTTTCGTCCATGCCAAATTACATTTGCCAGTTGATAAAGTAAAAAGAAAAAACAACAAAAAAAGCTGAATGAAAAACTTATCTTACAAATTAAAGGGCTATTTTTTAGTCTTGAAAACTTCTTAAAATACGGCTTTTTGCACACTTTTCTTCATCTTCAATGAATTCCAGGTCTAAAATATGCCTACTTATTTTGGTTTTTTATTTTTTCTCAAACTAACAACACAAAACCAAAGAGTAGATTTTTGTATCTCCTATTTGGCTGGTAACAAGATTTACAGTGTGACAGTGAGCTCAGAATACGAAATAGTAAGCAAAATTTACTGAATGGTAAATTTTTATACCTAAGTCAATATTGTTACCTCGACAGAATAGGCCTGTTAAGAGCAGAATACCATTCAAAATTCAAATGACAGCAAACATCTTCTTTCCCATGAACTTAAGCGTTATTTTATATGGAATTTGCTCATTACATAAGAACTGAATATATTGTCGAATCAGCTGAAAACTTAATGTGCAATTTGCTGTCTGTCAGCAGTTGAAAATCGAATCTGCATTTGTGGCACTTAACCCAACTTACACTGCATCGTGGCTTAGAGGACTGGATATTCAAGTGACGTCCTCGTCCTTTGAGACTCCATTCGGCAGTACAAGTAACAAACAGATCTATTTAAGTCGTAGCCTAACCTAACCCAACTCAGTTATTAATCTTTGTATAAGTACCGATAATTTTAATATTATATTATGAAGGAAATTTTTGGGGGTAAATATAAAATTTTATTGTTGCTATTTTTGCTAACCAACAAGTGACTATCAAATGAGCTAATCTCAGTAAACGTAAGTGAGTGGTGTGCGACAGATAAAATTTACTTAAGTTCATTTATGCGTGTATGTATTGTTGTTGGGAAAATAAAATGTTTAGGAATTTTATTCTGTTTATTTGTGCTCTTACGATGTATATATGTATGTATGTATTTTTTATTTTTGCACTTTATCTATATGTTAGTGTGAATTAATTATTTAATAATTTCATTAATTAATTTAAAACAATATCAAAATATAATGACAAATTTTAATCACATATTTTTTTTGAAACTGATAAAGTGCATTCCTTTGTATATTGATATGTAAGGGGTACTTTTTTTGACAGCTGTACATGATGAACAGAAAAACTTCGGAACAACATTTCAAAACAATTGCTCGGTTCGCGCGACGCATCATAAAGAAATTTTGTTCAGCGACGGAGCTCACTCTGGGTTAAATGAGTAGGTTAATTGAAAAAATGTCGCATTTGGAGTGGGGATAATCCGCGAAACCTTACTTTCTCAAAAAGACACTGTTTGGTTCCCTCTATTTGTATATGGAATCATTGGTCCACATTTCTTCAAAAATGAAGCCGACTACATATACGGCCTTATGCTGCAACCTTGCGTCCATAGCAAGCCGGCTCGGCTCATTTCTCGTTACTATACAAGGTTGCCAGTAAAAAGCGTAACTAATTATTTGTTTGTATTCGAACAAATAAATTATGAAATTTGTTGACGAAAATTATATATTTGTTCAGAAGTGTGCTGGCAACATTTTGCCTCTCTCAGTAGCGTCAACCATTGTGTATGTATCTCGCACTTCCAGTCGGTTGTTATGGACGGATGGTACGTAAAATGGGTAGTTGCAACATTATACTGAATATCGTCTACGTCTTCGCTGACGATCAAAAATGTTCACCGTCACTCTGATCGCTTCGTCTTTGTTTCGGTATTCTATACCAGCAATGTAGACGAAACGATGTGAATTAAGAAAACGCGAAGCCCTGTGCACGGGAAATTTTCTGTTTTTGGAAATCTGTTCGAGAAATTATGGTTTTCAGTTTATTTGTATATTTTAGATATTCCAATCAGATATTCAAACTGTGAAGTTTGCATAAATCAATAAAAACGGGGTTTCAATAAAAAAGAAAAATGGAATAATAGTTGCTCTTATGAAACGATGAAGAAGAGAACAAAAATTTAAGTGTTCATCATAGACCGTGGAGACTGTGCTAAGCGAAGTGCCGGCTTCTACTGATCTACTGCTGGAACATCTACTCAAGAAGTTTTCTCGTTTGACACTTCACGAAATCTCTCTAAATCTGTTGGCGTTTTTTGCTGTTAAAGTCGCGTTTCGGTTCGTTGTTATCAGCATTAAGACCAAATATAGCACCAGCTGGATTCAATAGCTCTTCGAAAATTATCAAATTTGCAAACAGATTCTTCAGGAGGAGTCAATACCATCTGCTTGTAATTCAACGCGGCTGGACTGTTTTTGTGAGGTTATATGAAGTCGTTGGTTCAGGCAGATAAGTTCGAGACGGTTGACATATAGCTTCAATTGCCGCAAAGAGTGGTTGAAAGTTGGCGCTGTCTAAAGAACACCCTTTACTTTAAATTTAAATCTTTATATTAATTGTTATCTCTGTTATAAATACCCAGTTAAATTTAAATTCTTTTTGACTCATTCTCAGTCCTAAAGAGTCGTTTTAAATAATGACAGGTCAAAAATTACTCGTGTGGTATAATATATTAAAAAAAAAAACAGTTAGGGTTAAGACACAGTTTTGTAACATTATAAAGTAATGCTTGGTCACTTCATCGCTTTTATTTGTTAGCAACTTTCTACCTTCTCCGCAGGAAATCAACCCACAACTTATGAGCTGAAATTTTAATTGCTAAAATTAGTAAGCAAATGTTTTGTTATAAAACAGTGGGCTGTAACTGCGAAAAATTGCATTTAAAGAAAAAAAAAACAGAATGATGTAAAAATTTTACACACAGTGTGTCCAAAAAATAACTGAACTTTTTGGATATAATATAAAATACACATTATATTATCTTTGAAAGTAATTATTTATTCAAAATAGGTTCCATTTGACTCAACACAACGTTGGGAACGATCAACCAGCGCATGCATAGATTTTTTTATGTCATTTATAGAAATGTTCTTCAGTACCTCGGTTACGGCTGCTTGAATGGCTGGGATGTCATCATAAAATGCTCCCTTCATCTTGGTTTTCAGTTTTGGAAATAAAGAATAGTCACATGGTGACAGATCATACGGAGGATGGTCGATAAGAGAAATCCCTTTTTTCATTAAAAATTCGAGCGATTTTTTGGTCATCATTTAATTCATGTGGAACAAATCGCGCACAGTCCTTTCTTTTCCCCAAATCTTCAGTTAAAATTCTCCAAATAGTGTTTTTACTCGTATTCAATTCCTCAGCCAACATTCTCGTAGTAAAATTTGCATCGATACCAATGATTTCACAGACTTTTTCCACCAGTTCAGCACGATTACTAGTTTCTGGACGTCCTGCTCTAGGATCGTGATTTAAATCCTCACGACCATTTTTAAATCGAGTAAGCCACGTATAAACTTGCGTTCGACTCATAAAATCATCACAATAAACTTTTTTATTAATTTTTTTTCAAGTTTGACACAAAATTTTATATTTGCTCTTTGCTGTCACTTTTACATCTTTCATCCGACTTACACGATGCTAGGTGCGTTTGAAAGAGGATGAATGTATCTTTTTAATGTTGCAAATTTTCAATAGATGGCGCTGTATGTTATATGATTTAAATATAAGGTTCGGTTATTTTTGGGACACACTGTTGAAATTACTGAAATTCTATCTCTTGAGATTTTAGCTTGGAAACAATGGCGAATATCGTTGCCTACATTTTGGCGCATTCAAAAATATTTTTATTTAAAAAAATCTTTCCCGTAATACTTTTTTTTTTTAAGCCAGAAATAAAGTAATGAAGATATCGTTAAATTCAAAAAGGTGATCATCTGATGTTATTCTTATAAGACCTCTAAAGCAGATTTCGGCATCGAACATTATTATATTAGAAAGTTGAGAGGCTCTACAGTATTAGTATTAATACATAAAATTCTTCGTAGTTAAAAATTTAAAAACTCGATTAATTCCCGCTTTAAAAAAATTAAATTCTGTCAATATGAATAAATAACTTTTGTCTCAGGACATTGTGCACAGATTGCTCTTAATTCTGAAGAGCTTTATCGGATTTCAAGATTCTTAGAAAATGCGTGGTTAGGATACTGGCACTTTTTGAAATAATTTGCTGTGAAATCCTTACTAAATTTTCTAAACACTTATGAAAATTTACGTTTTCGAACACTGTGCGCCTTATTGGAAAAAAGTTAGAAGCTGATTTCGTTGAACAAAAATTATATTCGCTGCCTTTCTGGGGCGGATTCACTGCAAACTTTCAGATATTGAAAATTCATATCTTTTGCTTCATTTGATCAGAATAAATAATAAGGAAGAAGAAAGAAGAAAGAAAGCAGATTAATTAATCTCAAAAAACTCAATTTTCGCGTTCAAATCATATTTGAGCAAACAATTTTCTTATACTTGCACCACTGTACAACATTCTCTTTACTAAAAGCGATTTTTTTTTCACTGAGTACTGCTTTCCATTGTAATCCCATTTCATTTAACTGGCTCAGCTGGAGTCTATGACTTTGAGCAACAGTAGAGCAGAAACGGGAAAAGAAACGTGACCCCACTTCAACGGCGAATCTAAGATCGCACATTCGGCTTTTGGAGCATATCATACTGCCATACATATGTACATACATACGATCGATTCGGGCTTTAAATTATATCTGGATAAATGGATTTGAGTCAGTTCGTAAGCGACTCTTGTTGCAGATGGCGTGTGCAGCTCTGTTATAGTCGCTTTGGTGTCTTTATTTATTTATCAATGAAATAGTAGAAAATATCAATTTACAAATATAATAATCAATTTCACTGACTTATCAACAAAGTGCGAGTTGAAAAATAAACAAACCGGCCGGTCTTAAGTATTCGAAATGTCGCCGCCCCATCAGCGTGCAATCACACTAGTGGCGTCGCTTATCATCGCTTTTTGCTCGCTAAGTGTAAACGTCGCTGCAAATGATGAAATCAAAAATGTTTTAATACTTTTGGCTGACGATGCCGGTTTCGAGTCCGGCGCTTACTTAAACAAGTTCTGTCAAACACCTAATCTGGATGCGTTGGCTGAGCGTGGCTTACTGTTCAACAATGCCTTCACCTCGGTAAGCAGCTGTTCGCCCAGTCGCGCACAACTTTTGACTGGGCAAGCGAGTCACAGTAACGGCATGTATGGCCTGCATCAGGGTGTGCATAACTTCAATGTGCTGCCCGGCGTCTCGTCTCTGCCGAATGTGTTGCGTGAGAAGTCGCAAGGTCGCATTTTGAGTGGCATTATTGGTAAAAAGCATGTTGGCGCCAGCGCAAACTTCCGCTTTGACTTTGAGCAGACCGAGGAGCAGCATTCAATCAATCAAATTGGTCGCAATATAACTAAAATCAGACAATATGCACGTCAGTTCTTTGGCCAAGCAAAGCAGGAAGGGCGTCCGTTTTTCTTGCTTGTCGCCTACCACGATCCACATCGCTGTGGTCACATAACACCACAGTATGGCGAATTCTGTGAGCGTTGGGGTTCTGGTGAGGAGGGTATGGGTGTTATACCGGATTGGAAACCGATTTACTATGATTGGCGTAATCTGGAAGTGCCACCACATTTGCCGGATACTGATGTGGTGCGTCAGGAGCTGGCAGCACAATATATGACCACATCGCGTTTGGATCAAGGTGTCGGTGTGGTGCTGAAAGAGCTGGCGGCACACGAGTTCGATGCAAATACTTTGGTCATATACACATCTGACAATGGTCCTCCATTTCCGGGTGGTCGCACGAATCTGTACGAACGTGGTGTGCGTGAACCGTTGATAATAACGGCACCTACAACAAAAGCGCGTCGCCACGAAACCACTGGCGCTATGACAAGTCTGCTGGATGTTTTCAATACAGTTTTAGATGTGTTCCACTTTTATACACCAACAGCGAATGCCACAAATGCGGATGGCACCAAATCTCTGCTGCCCATACTCTACGAAGAGCCACAACCTGTGGAGAGTGATGCGGTATTCGGTAGTCAAAACTTCCATGAGGTCACCATGACCTATCCAATGCGCATGATACGCACACGTCGCTATAAATTGATACATAATTTAAATTATTGGTCATACTTTCCTATCGATCAGGATCTCTACACATCGCCCACATTTCAACAGCTCTTGAATGCTACTTTGGCCAAACAACCCTTCCCATGGTATAAAACGCTGCTCTCCTACTATGAGCGCCCAGAATGGGAATTATACGATATTAAAGCTGATCCGCTGGAGCGTTATAATTTAATGGGCAAAGCAAAATATCAGCATGTCTACGACGAATTGAGCACTCGTCTACTTAATTGGCAAGTGAATACAGCGGATCCTTGGCGTTGTGCGCCGCATGCCGTGCTAGAGGCGCAAGGTGTTTACCGGGAGAGTCCAACGTGTTTGACATTGGGTCATGAGGCACTTCGACGATCTCTAACGCAGTACGACAAGTATGAGCTGCTCTAATATTTATGTGCGGAACAATAAATAGTATTTAATTCATTACTAATACTTGAACTAATTAATTTATGATATTTTATACTTATGTAAGTTTAAACAATTTCAATTTACTTTCAACTGTAATTTATTCATTTATTTGGATTGGTGTGAATTTATTTTTCTTAAATAAAAGTTTCATACAGCCATCAACCACACACACTTTCAGCGCTCTCTTTTAAATATCCAATATCAAACCAATAAATGTTTTAGCAAGTTTGGTCCACACAAACTGTTCGTATGACGCGAAGGACTAAATATTTGCTGAACTCGATGTTTGAGGCTAAGTTTTTGACTAATATTATATATATGAGTATGTATAATATATTTTTGGTTGATCTTGCATTACATAATAATAATCAATCGATATATATATATATATATATATATATATATGGGTATATACATATGACAGTTTCTACACGCCTAAAAGTATGCTCTGTTTTTATGTGTATGTTTTTATAACTTTTGTTTGTTTATTGCCTTAAATAATGGGTGCGTTCAGCGAACTGAGCGCTCACCATATTTGTGAGCGTAAAATGTGTTTGCCACTTGCTACTATTCGGTTAACTGGTGTATACAGAGAAAATGATTAGTGAAAATTTAAAAGTATCGACAAACACTTTAAGTAATTAAGTTTTTATTTATTAATTAATTTATTTTTTTATTTTAATTATTATTGGTTTCACAATTTTGGCTTATACTATAACAAAGAGATGCCGCGATAAATTACGCCGTGCGCGCGCGGTGGTTGGTTGGTGGTTGGATAGATTGTGACAAAGTTTACCCTTTTTTGTTAGCTCGAACTACCGCTGTCTAAACGATAGTTCGGCTAACGAGGTAGGGTATACACGCAAAGAAGGATAGCCGCGGGAAAGGAGACACGGAAGAATGGGAAAACGGAAGTTGGCGCGCACGGCGTTTACATTTTGGTTTTATGTTGGGCGCATAGACATCCTGCCCGCCCTGCAGGGACGCGTTGGACAGTGCGTCCTGCAGTTTTTGCTTCGCCGATGGCGCCTTTCGCGGTGCGGTTCCTAAACCCCTTGGTCTTTAGTCCGGTGGACGTATGCGCTAATCAGCGCGACCTTTGGCTCCCATTGCTGCTTTTTCTTATGGCGCGCTGTTGGGTGGCGCGCGGTGGTGGGACACGTAACGATGTGGTGCGCGCTGCTGGGTGGCACGCTTCTGGATGGCGCGCTGCAGTGTGATGCGCTGCTGTGAGATGCGCTGCTGTGAGATGCGTTGCTGTGTGGCGGTGATGTAGTTGCTTCTTCGTCTTGGTAGTTGGTTTAGGGGCTAGCCCGCTAGTTTGTGGCTCGGAAGGATGCAGCATTCTATGATGCGCTTTGTTGCATCGCCTGCAGCTCCCGAGCGAGTCACACTCTTCAGTGACGTGGGTAAGCGCCAAACAACTACTGCATTAGCCTTGTGCATTAGCTACCGCGACGCGCTGAGGGGGGCGCATTACTCGGAACGCGGGGCAATTGCGCAAAGCGTGATAGCGGTGGCACAGTCGACACTGGAGGCAGTTCTTGGTATCTGCGGTCGGAGGAACTGCACTTCGCGTTGCCATTGTTGTTTTCGTCTGGAAATGAAAAACGGAACAATCGGTAGTTGACGTTACGACATCAAGCGTATAGTATTAAGAGGGGGATTTCCTTTTTATTGTTGTGCTTCAAGCGGAGGTTGCTCATTTGGAATGAAGCACAGTTTTACTAAGGGACGCGTGATAATTCCGTTTTGCTTACGGAGGTCCACGACACGGATGTGATTATCAGGCCCACGATAAACAATTTGGATTCGTCCGAGACGTCACTCGGTCGGCGGTAGACCGTCGTCTCGGATTGCGGCGCAGTCGTCGACTTGAGGTTCCTTCTGTGGAAATTTCCACTTATACCTCTTTTGGAGGTCTTTGAGGTACTCCTTTTTCCAGCGGCGACTGAATTGATGGTGAAGTGCTTTGACCTTCTCCCATCGGTTAATTAACGAGAGGGTTTCTGTATTTGCCTCGGGAATGGCTAATAGCAGAGCGCCTCGAATGAAATGACCCGGAGTTAATGCAGTGAAATCAGCTGGGTCCTGTGATAATTCCGAAAGTGGCAAAGAATTGAGTACCTATTCAAATGTGAATTTGTGGTGGGATGCAGCGGCTTTTTTGAAGTGAGTTTTAAAACTCTTTACTGCGGATTCCCACAGGCGGCCAATATGTGGGGCGCTGGATGGTATATATTGCCAATTGATGCCTTGGGGAGCATTATTCTGGGTAATGTCTGCTGAACATTCGTTAAGGAATTCGACAAATTCGCGTTCAGTTGCTCTCAGTGGTAGGGACATAGTGCACCGCTCAGGGCGTAGAGCGGCCATTAGCTGGGTGCGCGTTTGTTGCTTGTATAATGTGCAAGCTTTGCATTGAAAAATACATTTTTTTATTAAAGGCTTTAGCTTAGCTTCGGTACGAAGTATTCTTGCCTGACCATTTGAAGCATGAGGCTCGTTTCTGCATGGAGAAGCAGTGCGTGTAGGAACTTCAAATGTAATTGACAAAATCTTGATGTATTTGAGATGATGATTGGGTGCCGCTCATTATAGCTGAGTGTGGCATACGCTAGCTTGCCACTGACGCGGAGAAGTCCGTTTTTATCCAGAAATGGATTCAGGTTGAGGAGTGAAATTTTTTTGACAATTGGCTTTTTCTTTTGTAAGCATCTTTTTCGCCTGGAAAAAAGCGAGATTGCGATACTTCCATTAGACGCTACTTTGCGAATTGGCATTCAGCATGAGTCAGATGTGGCATGTGACTTATTCTGGACATTGTTCACGAAACGGAACATACACGCAGTCACGCGAATTGCTCGAGGAAGTGAAGAGAATCGATCGAGATGTGTCTTGTCTTCTTCTTCTTTACTGACGTAGAAATCCCTTACGTGATTATAGCCAATTGGAGATACCAAGTACAGCCAGGTCCTTCTCTATCCCGTCTTTCCAACGTCGTCCCCTTCCTCTGCTTTCACCGGCGCGTGCTGCATCGAAAACTTTCAAAACTAGAATATTCTTATACATCCGGACCACATGACTTAGCCAGCGCCGCAAGTTTCATATTGCTCATCATTCCATTGGCTGCGGTATTCGCCGTTACCAGGAAACATTTCGTCATGGCCGAGGTCACTACGCTTCAAACCAACTGAACGTTTGTTAAGGATGTCAAAAACATCAGTTTGTAATCACATGATAAAGAGTCTGATACCTCATTTACAATAGTACTGAATGATTAAGAGAGGTCTTTCCCAATTCTCACTGCCCTTTGCCCAGAATTGTCTGACGTCAGTTAATATAGCCGTTTAAGTTTCACAGCTGGCCGGCTACTAACATTCGGAAGGCCACGGTTCCAGTGCTGGTTCAACCAACATCCTATAATTTTTGGATTTGAATTTGTTTGAATAAAAAACTAGGATAAATTGTCTAATTGTGTTTGCCCCTCGGCAAGGAATGTCAACCCCACCGAGTGTAATTCTGACATGAAATAAAGGCACCTTATAAAAATCTATCGCCCGTTCGGAGGTGGCTTAGAATAAACAGTAGGCCTTTTCAAATTTTTTGGTAAAACATCATGACAAACACCACAAGTCGGAGGAGGAGCCCGGCCCGAAGTCGCTTCAGCAGTTACGAATAAAATATAAATGTCCGTCGATTGTGGGTTGTGCCCAGCATTCTGAGGTTCAGTCTCCATACTCCGTTTGACCATATTCTTTGCATACGTTTTCTTCTATAGTGTTTAGAAATAGATTATCTGGAGAAAGTTGACCGAGAGTTTTGAATTATTTTGTTGGATTGGAATGATTTTTGCTGTGTTCGAAACAAAATCCACAAAGCTCTTAGTTGTCTACTCGTCAAATAATAAAAATAACAGAAAAGTGTTTCTATTTTTTTGGCCTTTTGTGTACTATTATCCTCTGAGTCACGGCGAAAAAATCTTCCAACACAAAATTTAATATTTAAATGATTTCTATAGAATAAATAAAAATTAAAAAACAATATTTATGCTATTGAACAATAATAAATAATTTTTAAATTTATTTTACTTATACATACATATTCATATTCCTTAAACTTCTATTTGGGTTGGCGCATCCATAGTTTTTTAAAGGATGCACTCAATCTCCAAGCTACTGCATCAGACCAAATGTGCTTCAAATGGATTGCCAAACATAAGACTGTCCATATCGGCTCGTCGGTTCAAACCCATCTGATCATTCAGGAGACTAAAATCGGCATCAGCCATAAATGATTTGTAATCCACCGGTGTCCAGCCACCTAAAGATATTTCGGGTTGTAGAAATTCACCATTCGTGGTTGAATGCTGTAAATCAGTATCGAAAAAACCATCTGCAACAGCAGCATTAAAGACACTCATATCCACCAAGGGGGCGGTGGCAGTTAAACCACTGGTGCTAACATCGAACTCATCTGAGCGCCGCATTGGCGTTGAATAACCACCAAGAGGCAGCGACATAAACGGCGCTGATAAATCCATTTTCCTCAGCGCGCTCGATTTCGTTGGCGCAGTGTAATATGAGCGCCAACGTGGATAATGTGACGGCATATAATAAGTGGATGGCATGTGGTTGTGTGTTGGCCAACTTGTAGGCAACGGATGATAGTAGTTCATTTTCGAGTTGCGTTTATGTGGCGCTGGGTGATGGTGTTTGGGCATTGGCTTACGCTTTGGCGGCACTGCAAAGGTGTAGAGTTAAGGTTAGACATTGACGGTACAAATATGTTAATATCTACGAATTTAAACGACTCACCTGTGCGGAAAGTAGCTGAGATTTTGGGTGAGTTACTTTTCTTCTTTAGATGTGCCCGCCACTTTTTGGCATCGCACTCGGCGCAAATGCCTAAGAGCACCAAAATCAACAGAATGAAAATTGGGCTCCGCTTGAAGTACATTTTGATGCACTCTTTATTAGATTTTCCAAAAAAAAAAAAATATATATATATTTTAATTCTCTTTGCCAATGGCTATTATATTTTAATTTCGCTTTGAAGATTTGATAACTGATTGTGCTTCTGATACTGAATCAGATAAAAAAAAAAATTTAATTCTCTTTGAATTTTTTACACGCAAATTTCCTTCGCTTTATTATTTCAAATTGACTTAATCCTTGTTGCGGTTTTATGCACTTTTATTTTCTTAAGCTCCCTTCAACTCACGTGCGCTCCAATGCTTTGGTCAAGCGCAATTAATTTTATGACCAATTTCGGCGTGACTTTACACCTGCGTTGTCGTGCAAACGTTGCTTGAACTGCCCGCATGGTTGCAACTGTAAATGGCATTGATATTCAGAGAGTGTTTCAAATTAATTGGCATAGGAGCCACTATTATTGCTTGCCAGAAATTGTGGTGGGTGGTTAAACTTGTCAACTTTTTCTTAAAGGTTGGACTTTCTTTTGCGATATTTTGCACAAAAAAAAAAATTAAAAAAATTTATTAGTATTTTAAGTGATAGAGTTTAACTAAGGTAGGCATGTATGCATGATCAAGAGAATACGGAATGCCTCGCAGCCTCAATTATTAAAATGGATGGAAAAATTTGGAGATAAAAAATTAAATACAAATTTAAGCCGGCTTCAAAGTCTGTCGCTTGAGCCCTACAAATATTTCTACAATTTCAAAAGTCAGTGTGTTCATTGGCCTTTTAAAACTCTTTGGTAGAACAACTGTCACTTACTAATTGAGGTTATGTTAGGTTACGCTGGCTGATAGCTAGCAATTTCAATTTCATAAAGGACGAGCAAGAACTAAGCGCCCCTGAGACTTTTTCCAGCTCTCTGTACTGTTAAGTCCATATATACCTGAGGCTTGCTTTTGATAAGGCCGGGATAAAGCCGAGGGGTAGCTCTATCGTATTGATGATGCTTGAACGTAGTTAGGTCTACAACCGTTCTACAATCCTTTCAATATCATATAGTTGGCACTCCAATTTGTGGTTTGGGTTCTGAAGTTTTTCCAGCAAATGAATTGCTGACCTATAGCTTCATCTACGTCTGCTCCGAACAGCTGATGGATTTTTATGAGCAGCTTTTTAGTTCATGACAAAAATATATTCCGAGCGGGTTTCATTCTCTGCCGAGTGACGCGCGCAATTAGAAATATTATTTTGCTACACTTTTGGAAATTGATATGGTCTGGCCATATTTGGACTCATGTTCGTTTTACTATAGTGATGGCGTACACTGCTAACTACTTGACTTCGGGGGCCGTCATTAGCTTGGCGTTCGCCTGAGTAAAAATTTTCTTTGCTATTTTCGCACATGACTTTAGCGGTTCTGTAAACCGTGAAGCTTTTCGATCTCGCCTTGTACTATGTATAAACTGTGCTAAAGCGAGCAGCACCCTATGTACATGTGTATTTAATTAGAAAAATTAAGTTTAGATGTTCGTCGAATCAGGTCTTGAAGCCTGGCGTTCCGAATGGTAGTATGCAGTGCTAGCCACTCGGCTATTCCGGCGCTTATATGCATAAGTCCAGTTCTCAAGTGGAGAGTGAAGTCACAAACTTAAAGTGTCTATTAGCTGTCAAACCAGGTTTTTCTTAAGACGCTCGAAAGCTTGTAAATTCGCTTGCCTACACGCTTATCAGCATCCAGTTCAAATACCGCTTTGAGCACTCCCTCGCCTCACAAATTTTGATGAGCCAAAGCGCTCTAATGAATTCCAACAGTGGAATGGTCATCCAGCATCATCACCATCCACCGGAGGAATGCTCATACCGCGCCTTCTCTTAGTTTTTAACCGAAACTCACTTTTGAATTCCACCCAAGGTTTAAAGCGGAGTCTTTACCCCGGAACACCTCTATATTTCTATGAAGTTTACCCCCGAACTCCTTTGAGCGCCGAACGGCTCGATGAATAAATTCCAGGGTAACATCTAGTAACATCTTTCTCAAGTCCTAAACGTAGAGAACGTTCTTCTTGTACAGAGTAGCGTTCTTTTTATTTTTCTCTTTCTATCTTGATTCCGAGTGGATGGTTCTCTCTGATACTCATCATGATGGTGATGGTACTAAACTTGACCCTCTTCATTTCGTCTAGATCTCTATAGTCATATTTTCTTCACGGCCATTAATTGCCGTCAGATAAAAGGTATCTCGTATAATTAAAACTTTTTGAACGTTCGCACTTCCAATTATTAGATCTTTATTGAAATATAGTCTCTCGTTTCCTTTAAATATAATAATTATAATACTTTTCTTATAAAATCAGTTCAATCTCTTCATATAATAATATTTTTCGCCTTTAAAAGTATGCCGCATTCGTATAGAGCGGATTAAAATTGTTCGGCAATGTGTAGATCTCCTCCGGACGTCCATTAAAGAGGTACGGACGTTTCAATAATGTCATTTTTGAGTCCTGCTGTAGCGCCTGCAACGAAGATTGGTGTGATGTGGTTGTACCATAAGGTCCATGAGTCGAATAGCTGTTTGCCAGATTCGAGGCTAGCGGTCTATGTGCGCCGGCTGAAGCAAATGCCGTTGTTGGAGCGCGTATACCGAACGGATTCACATTATTGAACTGCACTGAGCTCTGAAAATCATTTGGCATACCACCCATTTGATAAATATTTGTGGGTTTACCATTCGCCATGAAATTCAATGGGATATTCAAAATCGGACTAATTGCGGGCATGGAGAAAGGCTGTATGGCTGGCAAAGTGGATTGAGGTGTTGTAAAACCCAAGCCCGGCATAAACATGTAGGGCATTGGTGCAAAACGCATAAAATAGATTTGTGAATTCCGGCCAGTAGGTGTACCAGGCGCTGTTGTTGCTGCTGCTGCGGATGTGTGCTGGAAATGTGCAGATTGTTGTGCTCTGTGGTCATTGGCGGCGCGTGGCATTGGTTCGTCGACGATCTCATTGCCACCAAAGCCGGTAACACTTGGATAATACAAATCAGATGGCGCGAAATACATTGGCAGCGGTATGAAGACGGGTTGGGGATAGCTGAAGAAGGGCATCAAGCGCGGTGTCACCATCGCTGGCAGTGGACCGCCAACACCATAAGGTGTGAATGGCAAGTTATTTAGCATAGCGGGTATTTGTGAAAATGGTTGATTCGTTGTCATGTAGGGGTTCCATGGCAAGCCATTACCAGCTGTCAAGCGTGGCTCAACCTTCAAGTCGTTCATATATTGAAATGGATCAATCAATTCCTCGTCCGCCTCAACATCCTTCATGAGGTACTCATGATTCATTCCGTTATTGCTGCTGTCACTTGTTGTTATTGCTGACAGATGCGGTGGTATTGATGATAACAATTGTTGTTGTTGTTGCTGCTCTTGTGGGCGCACATGTGAGTTGGTGTTTAGAAATTCTGCAGCAGGTTGTGGCTGCTGCTGCAAGTGTTGTGGCGTCATGTGTGCTTGTTGTTGTTGTTGCTGTTGTGGCTGAGCAGCGTTTGCTTGTTGCTGTGTTGGTGCTGAGTTCTTGTGCGACTGCGATATGCTGCCCGCAGCGGCAAAGGATCGATTCAGTAGCAATGTTAGTAAACAGCAGAGCAGGAGTACTCCCCTCTGGGGGCTTTTATGAAGTTGTTGTACCATATTGGCGGACATCAAAGCTGTGCTCTTAAAGAAGATTAGAAAAAAAATTTACGTTTATTAGAAAACATTTCAAACATAATATTGGAATTAAAAAATATTTAAACAAAAAAATTAATTAATGTTTTATTTGCTAACTGTGGACGGAGCCGCAAGGCTCGGGTTCAACCAATATCCAAAATTTATACAAAATTCATTCAAATAAAAAATTGAGTTAAACCATCTAATCGCGTTCGCCCCTCGGTAAGGGATGTCAACACCACCGAGTGTAATTCTGATATGAAAACAAAGGTCCTCTGGGAGTGGCAACCCATCCGAGTGCATTTCTGAGCTTAAAAAATTGATGGAGGACCTCGGCCGAAAATCGCTTCAGTGGTTACAATAATCTTAAGGACTAAAATGATCTTGCCTCACACAAAATAATAATTTCAAAGCTTAAAAAATTACATAAAACAAAACGAAGAAAAATTGCATTTAAAAAACAATACTTGAATATAACTGCTTCTCAAACAAATTCTTTCTCCATCAGCCATCTCACTATTACAACAATGTGGCTGGCTAGCGAAGAGCAGATTAAGCAATCAAATTACGTGACGAATGCATCTGCAATGATAACCGTAAATTACTGTTCTTCGATCTAATTTCGATTAACTGTCTACGATCTCCCCAGGCGCCAATGCAATGACCCGGTCGTGACTCTGCGCTGAACGGTTCGCACCAAAAGTGCAGGTGTAGCCGTCTCAAGGCGCATGAGTTGGTCAATAGAGTTCAATATGTATGTGGCGCATGATCGATATCTTATGTAACATATCATCTACATATATATGTGTGTATATACATCACCCGTGATTGATTAGCTGTTGATTCTTAAGTTTATCCACGCAAAACATTTAGCTGTTAGCAAAAACAATTTCTATATGCAAACATGCGCATCGAAATAAAATATGTTTTTAGCATTTATTTGCTTATCCATTCCTTTTTACGGTTTCGTGATCATTTTTAGCGCCAGTAATTCTCGAAATTACATCATGATGTGACGCGTGCCATCACCAGCTTTAGATCGTTGCATTTTCGTGTTGGTGAATTTCTTCACTTGCACATTAGGGGCGACTACCCTTTTTTTCGTAAATGCTCATTTGCAATGGGAATCTATTACAGAAATATTCACATTCAAAATAAACTACGAAGATAGTTGTAGTGTAAGGCAAAGTGCGATGGGCGAAAACGGATGATGACTTCTGATGAAAAGTGAATCACTGAAGGAAGTAATCGCACAGAAGCGCCTAGCGTTGGCCAAAAAGAGGGTAACGGGACAGCGCCAAATCACACACATCGATAATGATTTGTCAGAAGCTCTGAGAGCTTGGTTGAGAGGTTCTCATTCATCTTATAAACCGTTGCTTGCACCAAGTGATTACCACTTGTTATTGTCTACGGCCTGTGGAAAGTCAACTGAGACGCTGAGTTTCTATGAGAGAGGCTACTTTTAAAATACCAAAAAGTTATCGAGTAAAACCATGCATATATATATATATATATTGATTCAAGCCGGTCAATTCTAACCATGGCAAATAAAGCCTCCAATGCAATTAAATTAAGCAAATTTAATATCAGGTGTACAACTTTGCTTCCGCCGTTTTCCGATAGGTGGCTGTACCGGCTGAGGCTGGTATGTATTTCAGATGATAATGCCTTTAAAGTGAGTGTGGACAGTGCCTAACGAATTGTCATCGCCGTTTAAGTGACAGTTGTTGTTGTTTTCATATTATTCACGCTCGAAAATGTCCGTTTATGTGCCTAATTCTCGCTATTTGCGGGAAGTTTTACTTTTCTGTTGCAATTCGAAAAAAAAATGCAGCTGAAGCGCATCGAATGCTTTCAGAAACTTACGGTGATGTCGCTCTGAGTGAAAGAACGTGTCGGGAGTGGTTTCAACCTTCAAAGATGAACAACTAGAAGCATTGCTTGATGAAGATTCGTGCCAAACCATCACAGGAGATCGCTACCGAACGCAACAAGAGCGACATGACAAAGTCATCCTCCAACACGACAATGCTCGGCCTCACGTCGCAAAAGTGGTCAAAAAGTACCTGGAAGCGCTGAAACGGGAAGTCTTGCCCGACCCGCCGTATTCCCCAGATGTCGCCCCTTCTGACCACCTATTCCGTTCGATGGCACACGGCCTGGCAAATCAACATTTTCAATCCTTCGAAGAATTGGAAAAATGGATTGCTTCATGGATAGCGTCAAAAGAGGACTCCTTTCTTCGCGCCGAGATCCGAAAATTACCGGAAAGATGGGAGAAAGTTGTTGCTAGCGAGGGACAATACTTTGAATAATATATCTGTAAGCACTTTTTCGCAATAAAGCTTTTAATTTTGGAAAAAACGGCGGAAGCAAAGTTGTGCACCTAATAATATCTCAGCAATGTAATTTTTTATATTATTTTAGGCACTACATCAGTCGGGCGCGATCATTGCTCAAAAATAATTAACCAACATAGTTCAAGAAAAAACTTTTAATACTTTCATTCAATTACGTGCCGCCCTAATGCTTATCTATGCTTACTAGTTCAATTCGTACATGCAACATGCATATGAAATTCCTTTGTATACAACGTTAGTATAGCGGGGTATTATACGCAAGTATTTATGTTTTGGCTTCGTTTGTCGTACCTGGCCGAGGTAGGTAAGTGACAAACTGAGTTGTAATTATTGTAAATGAGTAAAGCATGCAAAATTAAAAAGTGAAAACTGTTTTATGTAATTTAGACTGTCAATAAAGCACCCACATACACACGCATATATAAATATATAAATATATATATATATACATATATATATATATATATATATATATATATATATACATGTATATATATGAGAATTATCGTAAATTTTAATTATACTAATTGACAATTGGATATGTGCGTGTACTTAAATATATAAAAAATGTACATGTAAATATGCGGTTACATACATATATACATATGTTTAAATGCGTTATTTGCTGTACTATACGGTAAGGTAGCGGAAACGGGGTAGAAATATCATCTAAATATTTCATTTTTACAACTTTGAACGCTCCTCGTCGGGGAATAACAAACCTTTAGAGTTTACCTCCATTTACAGGCCTATTCTGTCGAGGTAACAAAATTGACTTAGGTATTAAAATTTACCATTCAGTAATTTTCGTTACTATTTCCCATTCTGAGCTCACTGTTACCCTGTAAATTTTGTTAAGCGCGAAAATCTAATGTTTGATTTTGTGTTGTAAGTTTGAGAAAAAATAAAAGCCAAAATGCGTGGACATATTTTAAGCGTAGAATTCATTTAAGATGAAGAAAAAAGTGCAAAAAGCCGTATTTTAAGAAGTTTTCGAGACTAATAAATAGCCCTTTAATTTGTAAGATAACGTTTTCATTCAGCTTTTTTTTAGTTGTCCAGGCATAGGTTCCATAATTAGGTTCAAATATTTATGATTTAATAAACACATAAATAAAACTTATTTATTTAAAAGTGCACCGTCTTCTATTTCGATGTGAATATTCTTCTTTTTTGCTTTACCAACTGGCAAATGGAATTTGACAAGGACGAAAAAAGCAGTGCTGCCAAGTTTTTTTTTTTCAAATTTTGTAACCAGTTCGCCAGAATACCAAATTCAATTTCGGGTGTTAAAAAAAGTAACAAAATTTACTTCAGCGGTAACAGTGAGAATAGGCCTGTTAGAAGAGCATTAAGACACACACCACCAATTGGCTTCATAAGCTATTTTCAGACGATTATACTATACAAAAAGTATCTTTTGAGATTATTTTACCTTATCTTATTTTATTTTATCTTAATTCAATTTTATTTTGTTTTTGCTTTATTTTATTTCATTGTATTTTATTTCATTTCATTTTGTTTAATTTATTTAATTTAATTTAATTTAATTTAATTTAATTTTATTTTATTTTATTTTATTTAATTTTATTTAAATTAATTTAATTTAATTTAATTTAATTTAATTNTTAATTTTTTTTATTTTATTTATTTTATTTTATATTATTTAATTTTATTTTATATTGTATTGTTTTATTTAAATTTATGTTATTTCATGTTTAATTTAGTATAATGTAATTTTATTTAATTTTAATTTGTTGTATTTTGATGAGTTATATTTTACATAATTTCTTTTATTTTGATTTAATTTGTTTATTTAATTAAGCTTAGTTTAATTTCATTCTATTTGATTTTATTTATTTTTTATTCTTATTATTACTTTATTCTATTAGGAAATCTTTCCATACCAGCTATATATAAATAGCATTTGCTAATTCAATTTTTATTAATTTAATTTTGTTTTATATTATTTTTATTTAATTTTGATCCAGGACTAACACCATAAAAATTCAAAGCTCAAGTAACACATGAAGAATGCTGTTAATAATCTGTACAAACATTTTATTTATTAATATTATTATTCACCTTTCTTGCAAATAAATAATTGAATACGCTAACTTCCAAACACTTCTAAAACGAAAGCACTGCGCACTGCAAGACGCGAAATTAAAATGACTACACATTCGCGATTATACAGTTCTTTATATCTGCGCAGATGCGCATGCGCAGCGACATCATCACCGTGGTACTACCGAAGACTGGTAAGTCTAAAGCTGTAAAAATTGTGTGTACATGTATACATATATATACGTGTACATATATGTGTGCAAGATGTGTTGTTGATACCGCGAGAACTGTTGTGTACACAAATAAAGAGGCCAATCAAAATCTCATTTACATGTTTAAAAAGGCAGAAAGCGTGGCCGCTGCTGGACAGTTGTGAACGCTAACTTTGAGGCGGGAAATTCTTTTTAAAACTGATAGTGAGCAAAAAACAAATGTGCGATTTGTGTTGAGTTTGGTGTAGGCAAGTTTATTTATTTATTTCAAAATGACGTTTCGGATGGTTTCCAGGAGCTGAGAATGTCAAATTTGAAGCGTTTTTTCCCCTTAAAAACT